TCCTGAGGCGCCTCCCCCCACTCCATCCCCCTCCCAGTCAGCCCAGGCCCTCCAGGAAAGGACTGAGGAAAACAAGGGGAGCCCGGAGCAGACATGTGCCTGCTCCAAAATCTCCCCAGGCTCCCCTCAACCCCTCCAGTCTGCTCCCTGCACCCCGTCTGTCTCATCTCCCACCCTCTCTTCTCTCTGGACCCCACACTCGAGCCACAGCAAAAGGCTGCAGTCTCCCAGCGCCCCACACCTCTGGCCTTGCCCTGGCTGCCCTGCCTGCGGGGAGAGAAATCGCTCACGTGCCCCCCAGAGCCGGGCTCTGGCAACACCTCTTCCTGGAATGCTTCTCCATCTCCTGGAGGTTAAATACCTCCTCTGGTGCCCCCAGCCCCACCGTGTGACTCCAGGATGGCTTGAACTTCCCTGTCCCCCTGCGACTATTGCCCCACAGCCTGGAAGACTCCAGGGGCAGGACTTACATGGGGGTGCCCACTATCAGGGAGCCTGGGGTAGGGGTCGACCAGACTGCATACCCTGGAGACGCTGGCCATGCTGGATGTGGGCTGGCGACCACCCTGCACCCCCACCCACTCTTCAGGGACTGGAGGCCAGTGTGGGTGGCCATCTTGACCGGGCAGCAAAGCCCGTGGAGCCATGACCACTGAGGACAAGTCATGTCTCTCTAACTGCCCACCCACTCCCAAGCCCAGGCACCACCTTAGTCTACCTCTCGTGGGCTCTGAATGGCGGGGCCGTGGCTGCACGGTGCTGATGACAGCCCAGTCGGGTTCATAGCCGGGATCAAAGGTCGGTTCCTCCTCAGAGGTACAGGAGTCACCCCCACTGGTGTCCTTGGGGGAAGGCAGGAAAAGAGACTAAGGGGTCATGGATTCCAGATCTGAGCCTCGAGGCCACCCTGGGAGGTAGCCCCACTGGACAAAAAGAAACTGAGGCAGAAAGAAGGCACCACACTTGCCCTCAGGGTCACCCAGCTCAGGAAATTCTTGATTAAAAGGCACCGACAGGAGTGAACATCCTATTCACGCAAGCCTCTGGGAAGGGCTGAGGGACAGCACAGACAGCTGCCCACAAGCTGCCAAACTAGCCCCTGGTTAGTTTCTGCCCTCCGTTTTGTGACCTGAAGAATTTTATACTTTTGCCAACATTTACACAGAACAGTGATAATTAGTAGTGCTGTCAAATGCTTGCAGCTGTCCGTCTCATGGGCATACATTAGGATGGATTATAGCTCACTGAACTCTACTGGCTGAGCGGAGACAGGCACCTAGTTCTGGCCAAAGGGCTGGATGTATCATTTCCAAGACAGACCATTTAACTGCCAGAACAAGACTTCTAGAGACTTCTTTCTACCACTAGGAATGGAGACTTTTGGGATGGTGGCTGCTCTAGCAGCATGTTTCCTTGAGTAATCATGATGAGTAGAACTCTTTTTGCCCACCTGAGATACACATGAAAAGTGAACAAAAACAGTTAAAAAGGCTGGAGTTCCAGCAGCCTTTTTGGACCACAAAGATATGTTGAGGATAGATGCCATGTGTGAAGGACTACGAAGCAAAGATGGAAGGAAGCTGAGTCACTGATACCATACGAACCTATACTGCTGCATTCTGGGCTTGGAAGAAAAAGAGAAAAGAGCTGCTATCTTCCATAGGCCATTGGCATTCCTGTTCCATTTATGAACACCCAAATGCAACTCCTAACCAATACAGGAGGCTTCTGGGAAATCTCTTGCTTTTCCTGATGAGAAGGATAGATGTGACTGGTACCCTGCTGGACCCCCTTTTCCTTTTTCCATGCTCAAAGTCCTTATGGCCTGAGAGCCCCGGGACCTGAATCCACAGACTGAGTTATCCTCTTGCACTGGGGCAGGGCTGTCCCAAGCAGCAAAGGGGGCGAGGCGGTAGGTGCCGTCTCCAGGGCCACAAGTCGCATGGTGTCTGCTCTCTCTCCATGAATGGGCCTCTTCAGCCTCATTTCACAGAGAAGAGGAAACCGGGGGGCAGACAGAACTTAAGTCCCAACCAGGCTTATACATTCCCCAGTGGTAGGTCTGGGATTCTACCCAAGTCCTTCAAACGCTTTCGACTGCTCCGTCCTAGAAAAAAGCAAGTGAAGAAAAGGAAGCCAGGGAACCCTACCTTCTTGGAGAAGAAGATTTGGGAGGAATCTCCAGCCTCCTCTATAGGAGCCCAGTGCAGGAGGACATCATTGTCCTGTGGGAAGGAAAGAGGGGTTGGAGAGGCTACCCTCCAAACTCCCCAAACACTATTTCCAAACTTCTTCCCAGTTCTGAACTCTCAGCCTTAGAAAGCCACCTCTCCTTCCTAAGATCCCATAACTGACCTCCCCACTGTACTCCTACAGGTGCCGCCCTCCATCCCGCTCTGGGCCTGCCCGAGTCCTGCTCTCTCCCGGCCCACCTTCTCCACAACACGGATGACGCCGGCGATGAGGGAGTCCGGGTCTTGGTGCTTCTTGGCACTGGTGTGCAGGTACACGCCTCCTTTCTCAAACACCACCTGGAAACAGGTACCATTAAGGGGCGGGGCCCAAAGGGGGAGGGGCCCCAAAGACAGCCAATGGGAACAGACTGAGGGGAGAAGCTATGCACCAGGGGGCGGGACCCCGAGACACCTTTACCTAGGGGACGGGGTCGGCGAGATGAAGCCTGAATACCGACCAGGCTTCTCTGGGACCCTAGAAGACGGGGAAGGGCAAAAGTGCATTCCAAAGAGGGCAGGGCCCAGAAGAGCGCCTCAGCAGCCCAAGGGGCGGAGCTAAATGATATGAGTCTCCCTAGGAAGTGGAAGGAAGGAGTGACAGCGCGTTTATTAAGGGAATGGTGTGCTTGTTAAGGATGTGCCGGGCTCCGAGAATCCCTGCAAGGCCTGAGAAAGAAGTAGGTCACCGGAGGGGGGAGTTTCGCATCGACAGATGAGAAAGAATGCGTCTCTAGTACTTACCCTGTAACCGGCTCCCTCCATAGCCGCGGCGGAGGCCCCACTGCCCCGGCCCCCTCCTTTTCCGGGTCAGCGTGCTGTCACATCCGGATTGGACACTCCCTGCAAGCCCAGACAGTGGTAGCGTCCCTATCTGTTCTAGAACAGGAGTGGGTGTAACCATTTTCCAGAATGGGGTGGTTGAGCATGAACCACGAGGTTTTGAGTCACATGCCACAGACGCTAGAGGCGGAGCGGCCAGTGCGCAGGCGCAGTAGTACCTTCTTAACCACGAAGTAAACAAGGGGGCGGATCCAAAAGCTCCACCCACCTCGATCAAGCTGGCTCCGACAGGCCTAGTCCTTCCTCCATATTGCATGCTGGCATCGAAGCCAAAAGGATGCCATTTTGCTCGAGGGCACGGCCAAGGCCGGCGAGCTGAGGCCATGTTAATGCGGGGCAGTCCCATCTCTCTGCGGGGCGCGAAAGCAGGGTCCTGGAAGAAACGGATAAAAGAAAAGGTGAGAGGAGCTGTGCATCACAAGAGGCCCTGAAGGACTCGGGTTAAAGGGATGAAACCGTCAGTTTCCCCGGGAACGAAGCCGTCCCAGACGAATTCCTAAGTCACCGTCGAAAGCGGTCTGAGCCGCCATATTGAAACTGGGCAAACTGAAGCAAGAGAGGCTGCCATGTCGGCTCTTTGCCAGTCTTGGTGCTGAAAGGGGATAGGCTGGGGAGCCTATGTATATGTTATGGACAAATGATGTCTGGCTGGTTGCCACGTCATTAATGGACACTGCTTTCCACTAGATCTGTGGAAGAGGTTATTAGTCTATGAGGGACGTTAGCTCGCTTGAGTTAGTATACTGTAGTCCTGAGTGTGCATGTAGCAATTTCCCCATATTTTGGGGCGACAAGTCGAAATCTGGGTTTGTGTCTAAGAAAGTTGAAGCCTTTCTTTCACCATCTTTCTTATGGATACCCTGCCGTCTCCAATGCCCCACTGGGATCCGGCGAAGCACTTTTGCCGCCATGTTGGTCTCCGGCGTCTGGGGTTAGGGAGGCGGAGTGTGCAAAGTGGAGGCGGGCCAAAGATGCGGAAGTGACGTAAGGCACCGCCATGTCTTTTGAGGGCGGTGACGGTGCCTGGCCGGCCATGCTGGCTACGGGCACGTGAGTGGAGGCGGCGTTGTGAAGCGCGGTGTGGGGAGGATTTGGCCGTCCGGAGGAGAGGGGCGCTGGGTGGGCGAGCCGCTCGTGGGAAGGGTATAGCCTGCGTTGATCAGAGGGCAGAGATCGCTCAGTGACCTCACGCTGAGCGCTGGAAAGGTGTCGGCCGCGGGAACCGTCGTGTCTGAGTCTAGGCAAAGCTTGGACAGCCTTATCCTCCGGTCTCCAGACCCACTAGGATTTTTGACTTAGGCGTGGACCATGTCCACAGGGTCGGGGGGTTACTCGGTGAGGCCGCGGGGTGCCCCTCACCCGTCCAAAGGCGGGACTTCCGGTCCTGGCCCCCACCTGGGCGGAATTTCCTGTGTGCTTCCTAGCGAAGTGGGTCTTTTACCTGAGCCCCGGGACCAAGTAGCGAGTTCTGTGAGCGGTAGAGAAAGACCCCAGATATTCACCTGCCTCCGGCCACAGGGTGTATCCCCGAGTTCCTCCTACCTTGGGGCGGGGAAGGGGTTTAATTCAGTTTGACAGGTGGTTGGGGGGACTTCGCTGGCATGCTAGCTTCCCTCATTCCTTGGGGGACTTTGCCTCTTTCTTCATCTCTTCCTGGAGTCGCTTTCCTAACCTCACTCCCCACCTCATTCTAAAAAGTCAGTTGCCTTACTTGTCCCTTCTTCCTGTGGGGGACAAGTCTCACCTCCCTCTTTCCCTAATCTTCAGTTCAGTCACTCAATCGTGTCTGACTCTTCCCTAATCTTAAATACCTCTATTTGGCGGGAGAGGGGGGTCTTCCATCTATCAGCTCCGTGGAAGATAACAGGACTTCTTCTGGAACCTGAAGGGGTGGGAGACTCTCCTGGGGGTGGGGGGGTACTTGGCTTGGCTACTCTCCTTTTAGGTAACCAATGCCAGAGACCCCCCTGCCCCCAAGACCCCCAGGCCTTGGCAGAGAGGCCTGCGGAAGTTGCTCTCCTCCTCTTGGAGGATGTGTGCGGCTCTCATGGCCCGCTCACTCCCACTTGACTCTTCCCAGGTATTCCCAGGCTCTCGGAGTTTGATCTGCTCTCAGATCTCCTCTAGGAGAGGAGCCGTGTCTTGATATCCCAAGGAAGAGCCCCCTGGCCTGGCATCTCCAGGCTGTGCAACCTTGAGCCACTCACTCTCCTGCCCTGAGCCTCAGTTTTCTCCATCAAGTGGGACCCAAGGAGTGGCTATGAGACCCTGGGTACCTCCCAGTTCGGTTGGGCTTTGGAGTCTGTCAAGCAGACCACAGTTTCACCTCACTTCTGCTCTTTCTAGCTGTGTTCCTTCTGGCCAGTGCCTTAAGCTTCTGAGCCTCACTTTTCCCTTCTGGACTAGGAAGCCATAAATCTTTCCTCATAAGATAGGCAGTGTGGCATTTAGGATTAAGAACACATTCTGGTTCCAGGATGACTGATTCAGGTCCCAGCCCTCCGTCTCGGTCAAGACATTGACCCTGGTCAATGAGTCTCCCCAGGTCTCAGTTTGCAGTTGTAAAGTGGGATGATCATAGCTCCACCTTCATAGGGGTGGTGAGAGGGTGGGATGAGACTGGATTACACTCAGGTCCCTGCCTGGGAGGTGTGGTATAAACTTGCTCCAGGGTCTGTCAGGACTGGCAGTGGTTGCGTTCTCACTGCATGTGGCTGCCAGCAAGGGCTTTGTACTCCGTGAGCTTTGACTGTCTTGTTTGTGAGGTAACAGTTCCCACCTTTGTGGGTAGGTAGGAGGGGTCATGACTGGTGCAGAGTCCCTGCACGGAGCAAGTGCTCAGCAAACTCTGGCCTCTCTCATCCTGAGTCACAAAGAGGATGTGAATTGAAATCTAACTTGTACGACCCTGGAGGGCTAGATCACAGCCCAGCTCGAATCCCTCCGATGATGAGGAGCCTGCTGCCTCTTTGGGGAGGCTCCTCAGCTGCCCAGCAGCCCTGGCTCAACCACTGGTTTACTGGGAGAAGACAGTGAGGCACAGAGAAGGCCACTCAGTGGTCCAAGGTCACACAGCAGTCAGGGTGGGAAGTCAGGCTCCTGGTCCCTTGTTCTTCTCCCCTTGTAAAGAGATGCATCAAAGCAGGTCATCTACTTAGGGTGAGCCTGTCCTGGGGACACAGATCCCTGACCTCGGGTGTCTCATAGTCTGATGGAGGAGGCAGCCAGAGATACAGCTGTCACAAGCTCGTGTGACAAGAGCTGTAATGGAGGTAGCCAAGGGCATTGTGGGTCTAGGGGAGGCATCTGATCCATCTTGAGGGAGGACCTGCTGGAAGTGGAAGGACATTGTGGGCAGAGCCCAGGTGCAGAAAGCAGCCGGCATCCCATTTTCTGCTCCACTTCAGCTCTCTGAGACCTGCCATGTGCCAGGCAAGGCTGGTGTCTCAGAGGTGAATCCGACAGGCCTGCCCTTGAGGGCCTCCCACACTGGTTGGGGAAATGGATGTGGATCCATCCAAGCAGTGCTCCCAGAGGGATCTGGGCTAGAGTGGGGATCATTCAGACATTGCGGGAGCCCGTGGATGGGGAGGAGATGCCCTGAGCTCAGGCTGGGTGCAGGAGTGACAGGTACACAGAGACAAGTGGTCCAGGTCGGGGGGAAGGGGGGTTCACCTTGAATGAAGGCCTTGGGCCTCAGGAGTCTAGAAATATGTGAGGCTGGGGCGGGCCTTCCGGTACTGGGCTGAGGGCCTGTGACCTTGTCCAGGGGATGCTGGTACAGGGTTGGCTCTGGGGGTAAAAGGACCCCCTCACACACACACAGCCTGGGGCCTGGGTGCCTACTGAACTCGGCTGGGACCATGGTGCAGGGCTGCATAGTCCATCAGAAGTATGATCTGAGCCATGTGTATAACTTAACATTTTCTATGAGCCACATTAAAAAAGTAGAAAACAGATGAGATTCACTTTTGCCCTCTTATTTTATTTAGCCAGCATAAATAAACGTCATCATTTCAACATTTAATCAAGCTTAGATTGCTCATGAGATATTTTGCATCCTACCTTTTTGTGCTAAGTAATCCTTGACAGTCCGGTGTGGATTTCACCCTCTCGGCACAGTCTCATTTTGGTTCAGTTACATCTCAAGTGCTCCCTAGTCACGTGTGGCTGATGGCTCCTATACTGGCCAGGGCAGGGCTAAGAGGAGAGTCGGGGGCTGAGGGGACAGGGTGAGGATGGGGCAGTGGGCCCAGGACAGGGCCTGGAGGTCTGGATGGAGCAGAGTCCTGCAGAAACAGAGGGCGGGGGTTGGTTGGTGGGGAGATGAGCTCAGCTGGGATCAGGTGGCGAGCAGGGCTGGGCGTGGAGTCCAGGGCCTGGTGAACACGTGGGGCTGGGTGGACAGTGAAATCCGCTGGGCCTCAGCCTCCTCTGTCCTGCTCTGCCCCGCAGGGCGCGGATGGCGTCGGGGCGGCCCGAGGAGCTGTGGGAGGCCGTGGTGGGGGCCGCCGAGCGCTTCCGGGCCCGGACGGGCACGGAGCTGGTGCTGCTGACGGCCGCACCACCCCCGCCACCCCGCCCGGGCCCCTGTGCCTACGCGGCCCACGGCCGAGGGGCCTTGGCTGAGGCCGCTCGCCGTTGCCTCCACGACATCGCCCTGGCCCACCGGGCGGCCGCCGCGGCCCGCCCCCCTGTGCCCCCGCCAGCACCGCAGCCGCCCAGCCCCGCACGAAGCCCACCCCGGCCTGCCCTTGCCAGAGAGGAAGATGACGAGGACGAGGATGAACCCACAGAGACGGAGACCTCTGGGGAGCGACAGGGCATCAGCGATAATGGAGGTGAGGCGGCAGGGGCTGGGCGGCTCTTGGTCAGTCGCCTCCTTGGTGGGCTTTCCCAGAGGGGTGCGGCTTGCTTGTCCTGTGGGCTGGCCTGTGACTCACTCTGTGACCTTGAGCGAGTCGTTTCTCCTCCCTGAGCCTCAGTTTCCTTTCATCGTTTCCTGGGACCAGCTCTGCTGGGAGGTGCTGGGCACAGAGAAAGCCCACTCCGGGCCTTTTCTCTAGGTACTGCGGGTCTGGCCAGGGAATTAAGAGTCCTGACATGAAGCAGTGCCCTGTAGAGGACGGGGGGCGGGCGGGGAGGGAACCTCCTGAGCCGGGAGCATGAGTAGGACAGGACTGGTTTGCAAACTTGGGGTGCCTGATGCCTGTGAGAGCAGACACAGAAGTTAAAGAAGGTCGGGGGTACAAGCAACAGCGGAGGGAGCAACTGGCTGCAGTGGCGGAAACGAGCTTGGATGCTTCCCAGAGACTGGACTGTAACATTAGGGTTTTGAAGAGTGAGTAGGAGTTCTCCAGTGGTGGGTGGGTGGAGGGCTCAACTCAGGAGTTACTCACTTGTTACTGTTACTATCAGTGGCTGACTTTCTCACTGTTGCTGGACAAACCCATGGGGTTGGGGCTCAGACTGTGAAGCCAGGTGACCTAGTTCAGATCCTTATTAGGGGTGAGACTAAGGGGAAATAAGTTAATCTCTCTGCACCATTGGGTCCTGGTTGTCAAACAGGGATCATAAGCATCTCCTCTTTCTCTCAGCCTGTATTTTGAGTCCGTTCATCCCAAATGAATCTTACAGATTTTGTGTTCATCCAACCAGTTGTTTTCACCCAGGGAGATGCCAGATAGATAGAAACGAGATTTATTTCTGCCGAAGGCCAGCCTAATAACCAGGGGAAAGGTGTGCAAGGCCCGAGGCTTGCAGGGGCCTGGCCAGTGCAGGGGACAGGGAGGCGGAGGCGGTGGCCGCAGCCCAGAGCGCTCAGAGCGCAGCAGGCACCGAGCGGCCGGGTCTCCTACGCCACCCGCAGGACTGTTTGTGATGGACGAGGACACCACGCCGCAGGCCCTTCCCCCCTTCTGTGAGTCAGACCCAGAGAGCACGGATGGTGAGTGTTGCAGGCTGGCCCCGTCCCCGGAGTGGGGGTGAGGGGAGCTGGGCTCAAGGCAGGGACGGAGGCTGGAGTCCGCACTCTCTCCCAGATGGCAGCCTGAGCGAGGAGACTCCCGCTGGCCCCCCCACCTACGCGGTGCCCCCAGCCTCAGCCCTGCCGGCACAGCAGTACGCCAAGTCCCTGCCTGTGTCGGTGCCCGTCTGGGCCTTCAAGGAGAAGAGGACGGAAGCTCGCTCGTCCGATGAGGAGAACGGGCCGGTGAGGGGCACGTGGGGGAGGCAGGGAGGAGGGCGTGGGGAAGGGCTCAGAGGCATCTCCTCCAGGAAGCCCTCAGACATGGATGCCACGTTTCCCAGGACTGATCTGCTCCTCCTCCTCGCAAGGCTGGTTCTCGGGCCAGAGCCCTGCAGTTTTTTAACTACATCGTAGCCTCTGTGGGGTCGCACAGAGTTGGACATGACTGACGGGACTTAGCAGCAGCAGCAGCCTTGTAGAGGGAGAGCGGCCTCTCCTTTCCACGAACAGCTCTGTTAGCAGAATACCTGATCTGGGCAGGGCGCAGGCGTTTTGGTGTCCCCTCCAAATGGGGAAACTGAGGCTCAGCGGGGTCAGATTGCTTTCTGCCCCCACCCCTCATATTCCTGGCCCCTCTTGGAATCTGTGCCCCCCTCCCTTGTCGTCCGTTCCTCCCACACCATCCTACACAAGTTCCTGGGCTGGCCTGGGTGGGTCCTCATTACCCATCACTAAAGCTCTGAAGCAGAAGGGAAACTGAGGCACTGAGGGTACATGTGACTTCCTGAGACTCAGCTGGAATTGGAACCCTGCTTCCTTTTGGAAAACAGCTCTGGAGGGAGGAGGCCTTGGGTCCTGTGGTTCCCCCTCCCTGTGACACTCAACGTCCTCATTTACAGACTGGCAGGGTTCACTGGCTGCTGCCATCCTTGTTTGGTGGTGGAAACATAATTAACTGAACCTCTGAGGCCTGAGTGGAAACATAATTAACTGAATCTCTGAGGCCTGAGTGCTGGGTCCTGGGCTGGCCTCCAAGAGGGCCTGAGTCCAGCTTCTGTCTGTGGCCTCTCTCATTCTGCTGGGCGTCAGGCCCAGGCAAGGGTGACGGGGTCCCTAAGGGAGGTAGCACTGGGTGCCGGGGCTGCAGGTAGAGTGAGGACCCCTCCCTGGTGGAGACCGACAGGGAGGGGCTCCTTTCTCTACAGCCCTGGCGACTTGGTTGTTCAGCTCTCTTTAGCAATCTCTGTGGTGATTAGCCCATGCCCTGCTATCTGCCCCATTTTTCAGAGGGGAGACAGAAACCTAGGGAGATAAAATCCCTGTTGACAGCTAGTAGCTGGCAGAAGCCTGATTAGAACATGACTGAGTCCCAAACCCGGTCCTCAGACGTGAGACTCTGGGTGAACACAGCCTCGATGGTCAGCACCCAGGCAGCACTTCCACTGTGGAAGGACCGCGGTGAGACAGGTTGCTGTACGTGCACAGAGGACCAGACTGAGAATGCGGGGAGGAGAGGGGCAGGAAGGCTTCCTGGAGGACGTGGTGCCTTGAGTTGGGTAGCAGAGCCCTAAATGGAGCAGGACAGGATGAAGGGCCTGCCAGGCCGTAGGCGTCGCAGGGGCAAAGTGCTGGGAGAGGACCTGGAGCCCTGGGGCGCAAGCTCTGATCCCGTCCATGTCGCCGTTCCCGCAGCCCTCCTCGCCGGACCTGGACCGTATCGCGGCGAGCATGCGAGCACTGGTGCTGCGGGAGGCCGAGGACACTCAGGTCTTCGGGGACCTGCCGCGGCCACGGCTCAACACCAGCGACTTCCAGAAGCTGAAGCAGAAATATTGAGGCCCAAGGAGCTTCCCGGCCCGGCGTCCGTCCCACCCCTACACTACACCCCTGCCCCGCCCCCGGGGCCCGCCAATCCGAGTCAGATCTGGGACCGGCCTCCTACGCCCCGGGCCACCAGGATTGACCAGTCCCTGCAGATTTCCCGCCACCCTTCCAGCCCACGACAACTCCCGCGCCGCCGAGCAGGGCCTATCCAATATCCAGATTGGGTCTGTCTGCTCTCTGCCCAGTGACAGATTTCTTTCTAGTAAGGAATTGGCTCGCTCCGCGACCGGGGCGTGGCTAATTCGCGAGGCGTTGGCTCCATTCCCGAAAGAGTCAAGCTCCAGAATTGGGTAATCGTTCTCCACTTCAGCATAGCGAATGGACAGCTCCTTCATTTGATTGACTTGAACACTGTAAAGGGCTTGACCAATCTCCGGAGAGACTCATCCACCTTTCTTGAGTTCCCCCATTTGATTGGCTCTAGCTTCCTGGGGGCGTAGCCAACTCCTCCTGTACCCAGGATTGGCCTGTGGCGTTACATTTACGTTCTTTACACTACTGGGGCTGGGGTTGATTTTCGCCGAAGTCCCGACAATTGTCCCTCTGGCCCCCTCAGGGATGGCCTGATCCGGTTCTTGCGTCTGACACCCTCTCATTGGTTACATCCCACAACTGCCTGCCAATCAAACCCGTCTTTGCATCCAGGACGTTACCAGCTCCCGCCCCTCTCCCCCCACCCCCACAGGTGCCTTAAAGGGCCCTCGTCCACCCAAGGTGGGGGGCAGGGGGCCTCACTCTCCGGCCCTGGTTTGGGGGAGAGAGTCGGGGGTGGGGATCGGGAGTTGGGAGGGGCGCTCTGAGATTAAAGAGTTTTACCTCTGACAAATGAATATGAAGTGTGTTCTGGGTATTCATTCAACATTTTTCGAAGCCAAATGAGCAGGTATCATTGCTTCTCAATGCAAAGTTGTGAATTTGATTCGCCCCCACTTTGCAAACAAGAAAAGGTAGATACACAGGGTGGAAGAAAGGATTCCATTCCTGTGTGATCGTGGAATCCCAATCTTCAGGGCTGTAAGTTTCGGAATGAGAATAGTTTTGAGTCGGTCTCCTGAGCCCACATAGTGCCCAGGAAAAGCCAGGAACCCCCAGCTGAGGCCGGGAGGTTTGGGACTAATGTAAGACAGCTGGAGGTAAAAGAACAAATGGCTTCTGGTCTGAGGATGCAGACGCGGGATACCCTTCTCTCATCAGATCACCAGCGATGGAATGCTAACAACAGAAAAGACTTCAACAGGGTAAACTATTACCTAGGCGCCTTTACAAATTATTTACATGTACTAACTCAGTCTTCCTTGTAACCCCACAAAGTGGAAACGATTATCCTCACACTGTAGATGAGAAAACTGCAGCATTGCAGGGTAGGGCTGCTGTCCCGGCAAGGTTTCGTCAACCGACAATAACCTTAAAGAGAAATTCCTCCTGCTGTAACAATCTCCGGCGAAAGAAATGAGACTTCAACGCGGAAAGAGGAAAATTTGTGAGCATGGAATCCACTCCCCCCTACTGGCCTGAGTCTCATACTGCAGCAGGGGAGATGAAGGTCAGAGCTGCAGAGGGACCGTAGGATCCCTGGGCCTGAGGCGGCGGGGCTTACGCCGCAGCGTCGCCAATGCCCCGCCCACTTCGGTAGGAAGAGTCATTTCCGTGGGCGGAGAGACAGCAGCCAGCCGAGTCGCCGGCACAGCGCCTCCGGCAAGAGCTCCCCGGTCGGAAGTGGCGAATGAGCCAAGCGGTGGCAGGGGTGAGCGTGGGGCCTAGGCGAGAGCGCGAGTTTTTCGGCCTTTGCCCTGGAAAGCTGGGATCCAAGCTCCAGGAGGTAGAGTGGGGCGTCGTCGCCTGGGAAACCGAGCTATTCCCGAGGCCGACGAGTGGGTGGGACTTCCGGAACCTTTAGCGGAAGAAGGGGATTCCTAGTGGAGAGGGCGGGAGGAGGCGGGACTTCCTGTAGCAACTGCGGGCTGCCACTCAAACCTGTTTCTCTATTTCCCCTTAGGCCGACTCCCAGAATGGCCACGCTGGAGGCCCAGGGTCGCCTGTGGCTGGAGAGCCCCGCTGGGGTAGCTCCTCCCATCCTCCTGCCCATTGACGGGCAAGCTCTGATTCTGGGCCGGGGACCCTTGACGCAGGTTACCGACCGGAAGTGCTCCCGAAACCAGGGTAGGCGGGGCGGGGCCTGAGCTGGACCGGGTGGTGTGGCGTGCTTAACGAGCGGGAACACAGGCAGTTGGAAAGATAGACAAGAGGGGATATGCTTGGCCACCATGCGGAACTGCGTGGTGCGGCCAGTCCCGAAGTTGGTAGGTGCCCCCTGTGGCGAGCACAGAAAGAAAAAGGGTATGCCTGACCTGGATTTAGCCAGACACCTTGGACGGGAGCGGATGGAGTCCATCCCGAGACACTTGTCATTGGGCAGAGAAGGATACTCACAAGCTACCGCGAAGACTTGAATGAGGCCACGACCCTTGTTAAGCAGAGAGCCGGTTCTGTGGAGAAAAGTGCATATTGCTAAGCAGAGATGGGTGGTAGCGGGCCAAGCCCGGAATCTGCACCTTGTCAAAGTCCTGCATTGTCAAGGAGAAGCCATGTCCACACAGAAAAATACCTGCCGTGTCCCTAGGCGAGAACTAGTGACCTATGTAATTGTAAGGCCTTTATCTGGCTACTGCATGTCAAGGAACGAGCTAATCCTACTTAGAAAATAAACTGCTTCCTTCTGCCGAATAATGGGTGCTATGGCCCCATCCTGTGGTTTGAAGCGGGGCGTGCTCCCCAGTAAGGAGGCAAGCAGTCACTCAAGGATTCAGATCCTGACTCCACCCCTTCAATCTTCAGTGGAGCTGGTCGCTGACCCTGAGACTCGGACGGTGGCAGTGAAACAGGTACCGATTCCTTAACAAGAGGCAGCGGGCCTGGGGGTGGGGATGGAGGATATGGAGAATCGCCACCCAGCAGGGAACGGGCCCAATTGGGAAAACCAGACTCTGGGAGGGGAACAGGTGTGGCCCGTTGCAATAGGGTAAACATCGGTCCGCTTTTAAATTGGGTAAGACTGAAGGCTGCTAATCTTCGAGAGCCTGATTGGCGGTACACCAACGGGGCTCAAGGGTCTGATTAGCTGGTGGAGAAGGGCGAGTCCTTTCCCGGGTTATTTGATTGGAGGAGATTGCCGGGGGTGGGGCCAGCTCCAGTTACCGCCTCTCTCTACAGCTGGGAGTTAACCCCTCAACTGCTGGGACCCAGGAGCTGAGACCGGGTTTGAAGGGCTCTCTGGGGGTGGGGGACACGCTGTATTTGGTCAATGGCCTCCACCCGCTGACCCTGCGCTGGGAAGAAGCCCGCACTCCAGAATCCCAGCCAGACACTCCACCCGGCACCCCTCCTGGGACCCGAGAGGGAGAGGAGGAGAATGTGGAGCAGCAGAAAAAGCGGATGAGGAAGTCATCCCCTGGCTGGGAGACCTTCGAGAAACTGCTGGTGTTCACAGCACGTGATGTGAAGCCCCGGGGCAAGGTGAGGCCCAAACTGAAGACTGAGGGAGCTCGTGGCGCAGTCAAGTTAACACCCAAACAAAACTTACTTGTTTGGATTTTCATGGTTATTAGCCCTCCGAAGTGAAAATAAGCCATGGAAGGAGGCTGGGTCTGATACGAAACCCATTTTAAAGATTGAAATACTGAAGGGCTCGGGAGGAATGGGAGGTGATAGAGATTTCACTCTCTGCTGTCCAGGCGGTGGCCTTGTCCTTACCTAAGATGGGCAGGCCCGCTGTGACTAGTTCCCCACCTGTAAGGGGCGGTCACAGTCCCAGCTTGCAGAATTGACGCGAATCAGCCTTCGAGCGAGGTAGACCAGAGGTGTAACAGTGCTGCTCTTCCTCTTTTCTGGGTGACGCCAGGTGGCTGCTTTCGATCTGGACGGGACCCTCATCACCACCCGTTCTGGGAAGGTCTTTCCCACTGGCCCCAGTGACTGGAGGTGACTGGAGGCAGGAGGAGGGGGTGGTGAGGCGCATCCGGGCCCCAGGTCACCTTGCACTTCCTCGCCCACCCTAGGATCTTGTACCTAGAGATTCCACGGAAGCTCCGGGAACTGGCTGCCGAGGGTTACAAGGTGTGTGCCCCGTGGGGGCCGATTCACAAGGTGGGCCCGGGGCCTGATGAGGAGGGGCCCTGGTGATACCTCGTCTCCTTCACAGCTGGTGATCTTCACCAACCAGATGGGCATCGGGCGTGGAAAGCTGCGAGCGGAGGAGTTCAAAGCCAAGGTGGAGGCTGTGGTGGAGAAGCTGGGGGTCCCCTTTCAGGTATGGCTGCATGGGAGGCTGAAGGGCTATGTGGGGGTCAGAGAGGCTGAGACAGGGGCCAGAGAAGCGCGGTGGGCGGAGAGGAGGAAACAGAGACCCGGGGAGAAGGTGTGACATGGTGAGCCAGCTGGAGGCGGGGTGGGGGCCCTGAGAGTGGTTATGCTGACAGACGCATTTTAAGTGGCGCTTGCCTTGGTGAGTGTTGGCGTAGTGTCCTTGGGACTCAGGTGCCCTTGAAGGACTCCTCTGGGTGTCTGAGCAGAGTCAAAGACCGTGTCTGACTCCCTCCCGACCCACAGGTGCTGGTGGCCACGCACGCAGGCTTGTACCGGAAGCCGGTGAGCGGCATGTGGGACCACCTGCAGGAGCAGGTGAGCCTCTGACTCCCCGGGCTCCTTGCCCGCCTGCCCACTCCAGGTCTCTGCGCCATGACCTTCCCTGTTACCGCCTTCCCTGGCCTGGCCGCCTCAGTTTCTTTGCTATCATGTCCTAATATTGGTAGGTGAGGCAAGTGGTCTTAAACTCAGACAACCAGAGTGGTCCAGAGAGAAATTCCTCGTAGATTCATCCATGGGTTTGTTCTTCAGAACAAAGCTTCTTGAGCTGAACATATTAGTGGACTAGACAGACCTGCCTGCGCCCGGGTGCTCCGGGACTAGGGAGGGCGTGGACGACAAGTGTGTTGATGGATGTGTAAACAGTGAGGGTAAGGCCGGGTATTGATTGAGTAAAGGTTTAAAGCTGGTGAGTGAGGGAGCCGTGTGTCATCTAAGGAAAGAGCAGAGTAACAGCAAGTGCAAGGATCTTGAGGTGGAGTCGGGTGTGTTCGCGGGCAGGGAGGCCTGTGTGGCTACCGCTGAGCGGGTGAGGGGGGTCAGACTGCGCGGGGTCTGGAGCCGTGCCAGGTGGGGACGGGCGCCCTCTGGCGGCCCCTTGTGGAACAGACGGGTGGACAGGATGGTCCGGCGAAGCGGGTGAGAAGTGGCCGAGGTCTCAGAGGCTAGACCCGACAGAGCAGACCTCCTGATGGGACTCAGTGCAGCAAATGTGGGCATGGGTTCCTTACTGCCTCTCATGTGTCCCCGTCCCTGCCCAGGCCAACGAGGGCATGCCCATCTCCATCGGGGACAGCATCTTTGTGGGAGGTAAGGGCCTAGGGCTGGGGAGGAGGTGGGTGGGTTCTGGGTGCTGATGCGGGGGGGCGGGGGCGCCCCCAAGGATGCTGGTGGAGACCAGGCTCTGTGTTCCAGACGCAGCGGGACGCCCAGCCAACTGGGCCTCTGGGCGCAAGAAGAAAGACTTCTCCTGCGCAGACCGCCTGGTGAGTGCCCCACCTCGTCCCACCTCCAGGAGTCTGCCCCCACCCCACCCCACCCCAGCTGACTTGCAATCTTGCCCGCAGTTCGCCCTGAACCTGGGCCTGCCCTTCACCACACCAGAGGAGTTCTTTCTCAAGTGGCCTGTGGCCCGTTTCGAGCTCCCAGCCTTTGACCCGGTGAGGCCTGCAGGGCGGTGCGGGGGGCAGGATGGGGGGCGCACAGGGATGGGGTGTGGTCTCTTATCTTGTCTGCCCTCCCAGAGGAGCATCACCCGCTCTGGGCCTCTCTGCCTCCCCGAGTCCAGCTCCCTCTTAAGCTCAGACCCAGAGGTGGTCATCGCCGTGGGATTTCCTGGGGGTGAGACTCCCTGACCCGCAGAAGCCCCAGCCCCTCTGACTCCTCAGGCCCCACTAACCCTGCACCCTTCGCAGCTGGGAAGTCAACCTTCCTCCGGGAGCATCTCGTGTCAGCCGGATACGTCCATGTGAACAGGGTAGGACTCGGTCTTCAGTGCCCCCCGACCCCGCATGAACTGTCCTCTTGGTCTCCGCTCCCTGGACCGCTGTCCTTTCAGACTCCCCCGACTACATCACTCTGCCTCTGTGTCTCCCCGCCAGTTCTGGGTCCCTGTCCCCCTGGGTCTCCCAGGCCCCATCCCTGATCTCTCTGGGTCTCCAGGACACTCTGGGCTCGTGGCAGCGCTGTGTGACTGCATGTGAGGCGGCCCTGAAGCAGAGGAAACCGGTCGTGATCGACAACACAAACCCTGACGTGCAGAGCCGGGCCAGGTACCGGGGTCCCAGGGAAGGCCCCTGCAGGGTGGCCCTGGGCCCTTTACCAGCCCTCCCCCCCCAGACTCCTCCCACGTGCCCGTGTCTGACGTTGTCATTTACAGCTACAGGTGAGGGTCGCAGGGTCAGGTGGGGGGACATCGGGTTGAGCCCCAAGGTTGGGCCTCGCCTCCAGCCCGCACCCTCTGCCTACAGGAAGCAGTTCGAGGCCCCCACGCTGGCCGAAGGCTTCGCGGCTGTCCTGGAGATCCCGTTTCGGCTGCACGTGGCACCGCAGCTTGAGCGGCTATACCGCCAGTTCTCAGAGGGCTGAGCTACCCTGCGCCCTCCAGCCCTCGCCCCTCGCCACAATAAATGCTAATTTTTTTCCCTAACACTTGGCTAGCATTTTGCTGGGGAGAAGGGTGGTTCACCCAGCTAGGCCAGCAGCACAGACCCGCTGGGCCCAGGGTCCCAGGAAGGCACTACTGAGAACTCTGCCCCCCTGGGAGCCCCTGCCTCTCGTGGGCTGCGGAGGTTTACGGTGGTGGCAGCTGGAACCTGCCTGTCCCTGCCTTGTATCTGCTTCCAGCCGAGGGAGGTCCTTGGAAGCCACAGGGCAGGGAGGGCAGCGTGGAGCAGCTGCAGGAAAAACCCTGAAGACTTGGAGCGGCGGGCAGCTCCGTGCGTGGTGGCATCCTCTCCTGGCTCAGGTGAGAGGGGCCAGCCTCTCCGAAGCCCGGGGTCTAAACAGAGCCAAGTGGCCAGAGGGCTTTTAAAAGACTTTATTGGGGAAACGTACAGGGGGGCTGTCCTTGGAGACATCGCAGGACACTGTCCTCCATCTCGCGGGGCGGGTGCAGTCCCCAGGGGCCCCTGCTCAGAAGCATCTGACCTGGGGGTGGGGGCAGAGAGAGAAGGACTGTTTGGGGGGGGGGGGGGGGGGGCAGACCCTGCGGTTCCAGGGTCCAAGGAAGGGCCTGGCCCTGCCCCAGGCTGGAAGCCTCCGGGGGCTCAGCGAGGGCGGGCGGGCCTCTCCCTCTCCCTCTCAGGTCTCCTGGACGCCAGGGTCACACCACCTCCCAACCGCAGGTGTGTCCACGGGGCCCTCCTGGCCCCGGCCCGCTGCCACTCACCAGTCTTCGCAGGGGCCTCGTCTGTGACTCCTGGAGAGGCCCGGCCCCGGGGGGCCCACTACCCCCCCATCTGTGGGGAAGGACAGCAGGGAGGAGTCAGCCGCGGGGCGGGGGGCGGGGCGAAGGGGCAGAAGAAGGGGCGCGGTGGGGCCCTCACCCCTCGCTGCTGCTGCTCCTGCTCCAGGTTCCGCTGCAGCACCTGCTGCTGGTTGGCGATGACGCGCCGGATGCCGTTGACGAAGTTGCCCTGGTCGTGCGGGATGAGGCCGATGAAGATCTTCTTCTCCGAGGAGTACAGAAGCATGAGGACGCGGACCTCGCAGGCGGCCTTGTAGGAGAAGTGCACGCAGCCGGCCTGGCGGTGCAGAGCGGTCACACCGGCCCTCCGCGCGCTCCTCCCGCCGAGCGCCCGGGCTCCGCGGCCAGAGCACGGAGTACTCCGGGCCGTCCCCAGCTGTGTCACCGCTCCCATGAGGGGACCCGAGACAGAAGCCAGAGATGCCTGCTCGAGGGCCCACCCAGCACACTCCAGTGATCCTGTGACCCCAACGCCGGCTGGGTAAGCGCCCAGGACCAGCCACAGCTGTGACGGACAGCATCGCACTAGGAGACAGCCGGCGGGGCCCCAGGGCCACCTCCAACCGGGAAACCCTACAGGCAGCAGGGGGCAGGGAGGCTAGGCAGCGGGTGATGGCACCACGTGGCTCACACCCACAGGCACCAAGCGCCTCCCAACCCCTCACCGGATCCTCGCCCTCTGCAGGCCCCCAGAAAGGGCTATGTGCCACCACGGGCGCCGGCCCTCCCAGCACCCACCAGAGCTGAGAGGCTGCGGGGTCTCCCTGAGGGAACTCTGCTTTTAAACTCTTCTTTACAACAGAAAGCATATACAACTAGTCCCTCAAAAGCATGAAGGCACAGCTATGACACCTTCAGCTGATTTAAAATAAATGCTAAGCTGAGCTGGGGACAGCTGGGACCAGTAAAGCAAACACCCAAAAGTGGACACGGAGAGCTGTGGCTTCAGGAGCCCAGAAGCCCGACGCCCTCACTTCCTAGACCGAGAGACTGAGGCCTGCAGAGCAGAGAGGTCAATTGCGACGCGCAGATGAGCGCCGGGGCTTTAAGAGCCCAAACTGGAGGCAGACCGACCCTGTCCCAGGGAAGGGAGAGGACATGGGGCAGGTAAGGACCTGGCAGCAGGGGGGAAACCAGACAGCGCAGCAGGCCCCAGAGGCCCAGCACATGCGAGCACGGCCTCTGAGCCTCAGTTTCCCCATCTGTGAACCCGGGTCAGGACAAGTCCTGTCCAGGCCCAGAGCACTGCACGCTTCCCACGGCCGGTTCGGGGGAACCTTCACTCCGTCTCCTTTCAGTTTCTGCGCACCGAGCCGCTGTCTGGGGGTCGTCAGCCCTGCGCGCACCCCGCCCCACTCACAAAGCCGTTGTCCATGATCCGGCACAGGCTCTTCAGTGTCTCCAGGTCCTTGGTGAAGTGGAACTGCACCAGGCGAGAGTTCCGGAAGAGCGGCACCAGCGTGGTCTGCGGGGCCCGGGGGTGGGGGGTCTCCATGAGGCCCCCACCCGGCGGCCACCCCCCGAACCCGCACGTCGCCCCGGCTGTGACCCGTCGAAGCCAGGCCTGCAGCACCCCACCCGCCTCTACGCGCGTAACAGGCAGCGCCCTCCCCCCGGGGGGTAGAGGCAGCGCCCTTCCCCGCTCACCAGGAGCTGCTGCGGGATGAGCTGCATGTACAGCTTCCGAGGCCACTGCTCTGTCCTCCTGCGGGGACGCGCCCGCGGGTCAGGAGGCGGGGCTCCCGCGTCGCCCCGCCCATGTCCGCCAGCCCCGCCCCCTGCCCGCCACCACCACTCACAGAATCTCCCCTTGGTTCACGTAGATGTGCGAGGGCAGCCACCGCTTAGACCGGCTGTGGGGCTCAGGCCTGGGCTTTTAGGGGGGAAGAGGGGAAGAAGTCAGGAGTGGGAGGGGCCCTGGGTCAGGGACGAAGCACTGGTCCCAAGGTCCCCCGGCCTCACCTCCTGCCACTCCATGACTCCGCTCCACGCCAGGAACTTGTTGTTGACGATCTGGACTGGGCCCGCCACGCCGCCGGGTCCCACTGCCTGTGGGAGGAGACAGGTGGGCTCGTAGCCCGGGCTCCCCAGGGAAGGAGCCTGGGAACCTGGAGGTTGCCCCAGGACGCTGCCCACAGTTCTGGAGGACGCCCCAGCACTGGCCCAGTGCCGCTACCCCCGTGCCCTCGGCTGGGATGCTGTGAACCGCTGGTGACGTGTGAGCCACCGCATGCACACACCCCGCCCCGCCCTGCCAGACTGCTGTGCCCGCGAGCCCATCCGGCTCCCCGCGCCCCACAGGCCCTGTGAGCGGCAGCCCCGGGGCACACCTGTTTCCGGGTTGTGATGACCTGCCGGATGGCGTTGACGAAGCCGCTCTGGTCATAGGGGATGAGGCCCATGAAGATCTTCTTCTTGGACGAGTAGAGGAGCATGAGCACGCGCACCTCGCACGGAGAGATGTGCGGGAAGAGCATGCAGCCCGCCTGCGGGAGGGGAGGGCATCAAGGGACAGAAACCGCCCAAGTGACCTGGGGCCGCCGTCCTGAGCACCTATGGACCTGCACCTCGGTGTCCCCTCACCGTGAATCTGGGGTCAGGACAGGGGCCCGGGGCGGGGGGGGGGAAGGTCCTGAGAGGGCTCAATCTCCCACACCCCGCCCCCAACCCCAGACCAGCCCTGTCCTGGGAGCCCGGGCCCAGCAGACAGAGGCCACCACGCCCGGGGGAGATGCCAGACCAGAGCCTGCGAGCAGACCCAGCTCTGCTTCCTTCTAGCTTTGACCCAAGGCCAGTCACCTCTGCACCTCAGTTTCCCCATCTGTACAATGGCATAACGGTGCACACAGCAAGTGCCACATAAACGCTTGTTGCATGAGAAGCTACTGCCTGCTTGGTGGGACTACAGGAGAACCTGAAGCACACAAGCGTCCCCGTCCCCATCGGGGTGAAGCAAGCGCTTTCTCAGCAAACAGTGCTGAACACAGGGGTGACCAGGCAGGAGAGAGATCCCACACCTGTCACAACCCCAAGAAGACCGCACAGTGCCCCCTGAAAACCACAGCCGGGAGGCGGTCTGTCCCAAAGGGGACTGAGGACTGGAGAGACCCGAGGGGAGCCCTCCAGGCAGCTCCCTTTGGGCAGCTGCTGGAAACGGGCCCATACCAGCTGTGTCTGAGCCCTGATTCAACAGCCTCACCAGCTCCAGTTTACTGAGCACTCAATACACTCAGACTACTGCCTCGGTTTTACACAAGCGCCCTGGCTCCCCCCAGGAGATCACAGATGAGGAACCTGACTATTCCCTGTTCCAACTCTTTTCTGTCAGCCCCACTTCCAGGGGCTGTGACCCCAACAAGCTCCCGGCTCCCCCGAGGGCTGGCCAGGGGCCCCCTTTGCTCCCGTGCCCAGCGCCCGCCCCAGCCTGCCGGGGAGCTGGGTTCCTCTGCAGTCCCCTCTAAGCAGTGAGACCCCGGTTCACAGGGACGGGGATGCCCCTGGACGTCTCCCAGGACCTTGCCACCTGCTTTGCCTGTCCCAGCAGAGCTCTGCCTACCACTGTACTCAGTCACCACGGTGTTCCCGGGGCCTCTGTCCCTGCCCGCCCCCCAGCACCCCTGCCCCACTCACGAAGCCGTTGCCCATGACCCGGCAGAGCCCCTTGAGGGAGTCACAGTCTCTGTTGGTGAAGTGGAACTGCGCCAGCTGGGAGTTGCGGAACAGGGGGCCCAGGGTGGTCTGGGGGCGACATGGGGGCAGCAGGGTCAGGGCTGGGCAGGTGCTCGCAGCCAGGGCGGGCCGGCGGGAGAGGGTGGGAACTCACCAGCAGCTGCTGCGGGATCAGTTGCATGATCAGCTTCTGCGGCCACTGGTCAGTCTCCCTGCGGGAGGAGAGGGTCAGCGGGGTGCACCCCCTCTGCCACCCGCCCTTGCACCCCACCCGCACTCACAGGTTCTCGCCCTGGTTCACGTAGGCCTGGCAGGGGAGGGCCCGCTTCAGCTTCGCGGTGGAGTCCGAGTAGGGTCTGCGCTTCTGTGGTGGGGGCAGAAGGGTCTCTGGACACACCCACTGTGCAGGCTGGCCCCCCACTTGTAAGACCCCCAGGTCAGCCCCCACCCCGCAGACTCCCAGGGCGCCGGCCATGGGCGCTCACCTCCTGCCACTCCAGGACGCCGCTCCA